TCACTCTCACTCATTTGTGAACCGATTTTGATGATTCTTGTTTTGCTGAAAAGAGGGTACCTCAGATATGATCTCATTTAAATTTAAAGAAAATATTCCACCTCTAAGGGTGGCAAACTAGGGGATGAATGAATTTTGAGGTCGGTTTTTTAGTACTCTGTACTGTTTTAAAATCTCATGTTGTTTTAAATACGTTAAGTTTTAAAATTGAATTTTGCAACACGACGTAAATATTGTAAAACAGTCGTTAAAACCTAAAACATGCTCACATGAAAATTCTAAGAAATGTCGCTTGCACCCTTCTGCAAAACACCGATGATTTATTTTTCCAATAAAATTAATCGTTTCGGTTCTTTATTAGGTCCCAATGTATAAAGCTAAATTGGCTTATTTCAATAAAATAAGTTTACGCGATTTTAAATCCGAAAAAGTTTTATTCATTTGCAATGTAACGGTTTTGTCACTGTATGTTGTATCACTTAAGATTCTCTTTGAACTTTGCTCTCACTACCTTGGATTGGCTGGAAGAGATCTTATTTAGAGAAGTCTTCCTTTGCTCATTTTCAATTCAATTAAAATTTCTGTTGTATCTATTTGGTGCAATAAATAATATATAACACTGCCCTCGGAACGAACAAAGGGACAATTGCTGTATAAAGTACGCATAGTTGTGCCTTGTTCCGTTACGAGGGCAGTTTAGATTTCATTAAAAATAATTTTTTATTATACTATTTTGTTTTCAATTGCACTGCAAAAAAATTTATACCAGTCATAAAAACAGTTACAGGAATGTATTTACTTAGGCCAAAACATTTGGAGATTAATGACTGATTGATGCTTATACCCTGTACCGACAAAAGCGAACCGAAGATCAATTTTTTCAGGAACCACTAGTCGTTTTTGACGTCGATATGTATGACGTCACTATGTCTATGCACTTGTTCTCTAAAATACAGTTCATTCTGCTTTAGTAGATAATGGGCTTTATTTATGAAACAATAGCGTTGTATTAAGATTGTCTTTGCTTAATGCCCTGGGAGCCAGGTATGCCGAGGCTTTACTAAAACACACTTAGTAAATCTAATGAACCTAAAATTTTCATACATCGTCGACTCCACAGCAAAACTGTAACAGCACTTCAGCTTGGTGATTCACCGGGTGACTCACGGCATTCCTGCTAGCTGCTGCGGAACACTGCACCTGATGAAATCATGAGAGGTTAATGACCCTCAGGTGTTCAGTTATGCATCATAGGATTGACATTTCATAATATTTTCTTAAGAAAGCATCTGTTTTGATTTTAACATCTGATATTTTTTTCATTACAGGGCGCCCGCAAAAAGTGCTTAAATTTATTATTACTAGACGCAATTAGATTAAGATATACTTATTCTAATTGCGTCTGTGGCCGAACGGTTACCATACTAGTCTGCCACGCAGACGACCCGGGTTCGATTCCTGGGCCAGGAGAAATATTTGTACTGCCTATATTTATTCCTCTTGTGAGTTTGGGTGTAATTTGTGGTTGTCTATGTGTGCGTCCATGGCACCCGCCACACAAGGTATGTGCGTTATTATTATTATACTACAAATAAGTAAGTTGTATGAAAAGCGAGAGCTTATTTATGTACGTATGTTTAAAATGCCTAAAACAGTCCAACAATCTATGAAAAAAATTCTATTATAAATAAACTTGGTCTAGGTATTCTATACTATGTTGAACGTGCATAAGGCAATGGTCCAGGGATTTGTTGAATGTAGGTACGCAAAGGAGTGTGATAATAAGAAGTGTTTGAAGAAGAATATTTTATGTACAAGCATCACAATAGTACATCATCTAAGAATAAGTCGGTAGTTAAGAGTTAGTTATTAATTACAACGATACTTGTTCAAAATTGTTGAAATATATGGTGATGTTGAAATGGATGGATGATTTATTGATTAAATTAAAACTTTCATTTTCTTTATATAATTATGTCAGATACGATAAAGGGAATCACCGCCCTTATGAACGCCGAATCAGCTTGAGCCAATGAGAAAAATTTTATCGATGTATAAATATATCGATAAAATTTTGTTATCGATATATCTTAATATAATATAAAATGCGAATGTTTTTAAAAAGAGTGCTCGTTTCGTTCCACTCGGGCCGCGCCGAAGCGAAACGCGCAATGTCCTTTTCATTCCTATTACATGGACTCTATTTCTGACCAGCTTAATGTGATTCTATATTGGCAAGTTTTTTTACAACTTTTTTTTATATAACGCCTAGGTAATATTATAACAGTTGAATTACATTGCAATAAGTATTCTACACAATCACTGAAGTAAAACAAAAATAAAATACACCCTTAACGTGACTATTTAGTAATCTATGCCTTAACATAGGCGCACGCAATGTAGGCACCTTCACGTCGAGTTACGGACACCAGCCCTTTACATCAAGTACCGATACCCATAACATAATATATTATCAGTTCATTGTAGTACCCCTAGTGCCCATATACTGTATCTACTTGTACACCAATTATTTATCATTCGCAAGTGAATATTTATGTGTAAATTTCATAGTAAAATACACTTCCGGACATATAAGCTTAAACAATGTTTGATTGATCAGAAACTACTATGCAATTTTGAAACTAGTATGCTAAACGTCTTTTCCGTTAGTCCTTGTTGGGAATTTGGATTTGCAAAATCGGGGTGAAAACTTTTTCTTTGATGATAACACTATTTTTGTACTCTAGCCCTTTACGACAAAAATACGAGGTGGCTCGAATTACGTGTCCGGAAGTATATTATAAAGTATTGTAATATTAAAACAATAACAAAAAAGTATATTTTTTGAGTAGCCGGGTATTTCGGCTCGACTCTATGTATCGTAACAGGGAAATTAATAATTGCAGTATTGATATTTGCTGTATAGTCGTAAATGGTTGATTCACGCACTTTGTGGACACAGGTTCATTTTATAAATAAAGCAGGTTTATTAGTAGCCACCAAACTGAAATAAAAATTTTCGTACAACCACAGCTCTTTATCAATTACACGGTAAACAGTAATTTTTAACATTCATATCTTTACGTACATTTATGTGATACGGATATTTTTGGTACCTCGCCTTCCGAAATACAAGTAAAATTCTAATTAATAATTTTTTAATTTTACAAGCTTACTAACATCTGACATTAACAAAAACTAATGTTCCAATCACCGCCTTCGCACAATGGGCCACTGTTGGGTCCGTGATGGGACGCGAAAGGTAGCACCCCAAACTATTTAGTATTATTGAAGCGGCTTAGTCTGCCTACGATGCCTCGAGTCACGAGTTCGCATTTAATTTTAATGGTACCTAATTAATTAATTAGTTTTTTCTTTAATTTTATGTACAAATTTCTTTACTAATTTCACATTGCATAATTTTCTTTATACATATAAGCAAGTTTCTACATCACAATTTATTCCAAAGTATTTTTATTTTAAATTATATGCAAGTATAAAAATAATGGTCATATTATATCATAGTGATAAGAACAATAAATACAGTAGAAGAGCTTAGTTTACGCGACACGTGTGCTAACAGTATACGACGTTCCACGTACTTAAAGCTCAATACGACATCTTCGCTTTGTACGTTTATACTTGGTCGAGTCTTGCGCAAAATCTTGAAGATCGTAGAAAAATGCCTTATTTTGCTAGAGTGCAAAAATGATAAGTCGTTGTGGTGTTGAATATCATCGTTAAGTCTTTTTTATTTCATTTTAATTTTTTTTTATTTTCTGTTTATCGTAATTTACTTTTTGTTACAAGAAACGAAAGTCAACATATATGGTTGCTTCCTTTTTAGAGAACTAAGTAAATAAATAAATAAATAACGCACATACTCAACATAAATATCTTGAACAAATATCTTGAATTCGTCGTCGTACAACTATAGACCGCTAGATGGCAGCACACTGATAGAAATTTCAATATAAATCAACAGGGTAAAGATTAAATTATATTATCAATCCAGAATTCTTTTATTTTTAAATTAGAAACTATGATCAGTCATTATTAAGATTTCTTTACGATTCAAATTATGAATGTGAGTTTTGGAAACAACGATTCTGATACTAATCCAGGCATAACGCACTTTCATTGTTTTTTTTCTTTCGTGATTTAAACTATACACTGATTGAGTACAACTAGGGTGAAAATTACTTTGACACCCGTGTAATATATATACGTTTTTTAAATCCAATTCTGAAGCATTCATAACTGTTACACATGAAAACGAAACTAATAGCATTAGAGAATGAAAATGCAGGATCTATGAATCTAGGTCGACTAGATTTATTGTAACAGATGATAAAACAGGAAAAGGAAGGCTGTAACAAATAATAAAATGATATAAAAAGGCACAATTATTATAAAACACTCCATAGTACAATACACAATACTCACTCCAAAAGAACCTATACAATTATTATAATTTTCAACGTAAAGTTTAACAATAAGGAAATGAATATGATTTGTGATTTATGGGCACGTCCTCTCGTTTCAAGAATTTTGATGTGAGTGACGAACGATCGCACAAACGTAAGAAAAGCTTGGAGGATGGAAAAAATAGAAAAATAACGAAGGAAAGGGGAATTCGAGAACGATATAAAATTTTAATAATAAGTGGAAAAGGACCAGAAAAGGATGATAACAAGGAGGGATGACGAAGGAGATCGGCATTGTCAAATGTCATCCATGACCTGTAAAAAGCCCGAAAATTTGGTTAGTTGCAAAAATGAAAACAAAAATATACGATTTGGGTCCGAAATATAGTTCCATTTAACACATATAACAACAACAACAAATAAAACAGCGAAATTTTTAGAGAAAAAAATCTTTCGTGACAACAATTAAATTTATAATGGAAACAAAACAAGAGGCTGATAATGCTGAAATACATTAAAACTTGCTTTTTTTAAATACAATGTTAAAGCACTGAAAATCTTCTGAAAATCTAAGTTTTCAATCAAACAACTGTAAGCTTTGAGAAAATGTTTTAATCACGTAAAGTTACATTTTTACATCACAAATTAGGGAACTAGTTCCTCTAATACGTCCTTTTCTAATGATTTCATGGCTGCTTCCTGAAAACAAAAAAAAATATCATAGATAACAAAATAATTAAAAAATATATGTTTTAGTATACTCCATAAGATAAAAATGGGTGTGACCCGCGTAATTCATATGACTTAACAAGAATTAGTGTAAACCATATATAAACTAAACATTGATGCGCAGGTTTGTGAATCTGTACATGGTCGCAGCACCATCTCGCCATTAGGTGGAGTAACTGCACGTTTGGATAGCCCACATAAGTCAAATTATGGAGAGAAAAAAACCGACAGCTATAATCGAAGCAAGATGGTCATTTTGACATATCGTTTTGGATTTGTTATACGTCCGTTTGGATTTGTAATTACACGCACATAGGACTTCTCAACTCAATGTCTAAGGGTGTCGGGCGCAGGGGCAGTCCTACTTATATTGTCGCGATTTAAAGCTCTGTGCGGCACTCAACCGTTATGGACTGGTGTGTCGGCACACGACTTATTCGTAGTAACACTTGGTATCATAAAAAAAATTGAAATAAATTCGTTATTCTTAATCACAAATGAGATAAATTAGGTAGATCAATTGAGACTATCAGTACAATGGTGGTGTATCTAACCCACATTTTCTTTTTCTACAATATTACTTTAAATGATACTAAAGTACATAATAGACAACGCTCTTACAACAAATTTTCTTACAAAAACTGACAGTGTACCAAAGTAGTGTTATTGAAAGCACCCAAGCATCAAAAGAAAAATCTTTATTGGATAAGATAAATGGTGTGCAAAACTCATATTTTGCGCATCAATTTCGATAGATATTCCTCTGCATCTCCACAATCCACTCAAATTGAACTCCATTGTTTAAAAAACCGTTGTGTACGGCATCCGGATAAATTGTTATCCTAGCAATTTAAACCAGACTCTACCCTAAATTTTCAAATACAAACTCCGATTCGAAAATGTAATTGACATTCGTTTACCTTTCAAAAATACAACCGTACCACGCTTTCGTAAAAGACTTCAAAGCCATTCATGCAGGCCAGTGTGACTCACAAATGATTGAAACGTTTGACCAAATAAAAACATAGGAAACGAAATAACAAGTGACGATTTACTGACCAACAACAATAAAACATAGTCGACAAAATGGCAAAGGATAAACTAAGCGACGCCAAAAACTCTTTGTTATAAACTTTGTGGGTGGCAAAGACTGCATAGGCGGTACGTTTGCAAACACCAAAGCGATTTTACATATTAAAGGAAAAGAAGGCGGTGCTAAGGCCCATACAAATGTGGAAGCAAAAACTATAAAACGTTTCAACAGGTAAAGACGCAACCGTAACTGACCTTTCTATTGGAGACAAAGACTCAAATGACTGAGGGAAGTATCCCGCTGTTCGTAAGCAAGGGGCAAGAATAACATCTTCACTGTTGACCATACAGACATAGTCACTATAAGTCAGTACAGGGTTGCCTTAATTACAATTTTAAGAGAACTCTTCTAGCTCAACCATAATCAATACGTATCTTCGGCGATCAGGATGAGACTTCAGGACTACATACCTCTCAAATTAGTAGGTATGAAATTTTGGAAGCTTGATTTAGGAAATACCTATTTCAAAAAAGTTATTTGCTAATGGTTATACGATTATCTTTAGTCGCAGCTTTCGGACCATGGCAGGATTTTTTTTACAGTTTAGTGATTAACATCGGAAGTCTCAACAATACAGTACAAATGTACTGATTGCCCTGTTACCCTTAATATGGACAACTTGCTTCTTCACAAAGTTTTTGACCGACTTGCAGTTTGTATATAGGCAACGAATACTAAGAAAATTGCTAGTGACAACCCTATCTTATAAACACGACTGATATTTATTTCTACTCATTTGCACTTCACAATGCGCTTTTGAGTTCTTTATCGATAGCTGTTACGTCGCTTTTATTTACAACCTTTTACAATGTGGGCTACTATTTTTAGTAGTCCGAAATTACCTTTTTACTGGTGCCTTTAGTATTATATAAATGTAATTAGTTCCCGTCGCTTTTGTTTGGTTTAAAAGGGACCAATTGTTGTGAGATTGTCCCTGATTTACTTCAGTGAAAATATTTCGCCGACAAACAACTACAACTTCAACAGATAGTCCTTTAATTAGCAGATCGAGCATTTTGGACAGCGCAGAATTAATAAAAAAAGAGTGCAACAGTTCGTGATGCTATTTTAAAGTGTACATAATTAAAACATAAATAAAAATAAAATTATAACATAATTTAAAGTGTATAATTTTTCGGTATATTTTTTACATTGATAAGCACGCGTAAGAAATACAATTTTTTTCTACTCTATAAACTTAGTGACATAATAGCACCTTAACTCTGCGGAATAATGTAAAACAAAAAGATACTAACTTTATTTTGCAAAGTTTAGGGTCCATGGATAATAAATAGTTGTTCAGGCTGTTTTCGCAGTTAGTGTAAGCCATGCCGAAACCTAGACCGCCGCCTATGAACAGTGGCCACTTTTTGACACTGCGAAGAAAAAAGCTTCCTAGCATGCTACCCAGCAGCATGCCAGAACCTAGTAAAAAAAAAGGAAAAGATACAATTTTATTATTAGTGCTAAAGAAGGTCTTTTAGCCATACGTGAGGACTGTTTTCTTGCCTTGAAAGTAGTAGCGTAGCTTCTTTAATAACCGGTGAAAAAATCTATCGGATACACCAATTCCGTTTATTATGTTTAACAAATAATTATAAAAAAATCATTAGTTCATTTTTTGTATTGTGTATTTTTTTATTATTTAATTTATTTTAATTCATTCTTTGTACATTGTATTTTACATTATTTTTATATTATGCGCAACTTTGCTAAGTTAGATAAATCATTGTTAAGGAGTTGCAACATTCAGGCAAATCTAATTCTATTTAAAAAGTGAAAGAAAAAATAATTTAAGTAAAAGTAAGTTATGCCCCTACGAGCATATTTCTCTAACACGTACCAGTTTTTACCATGAAATCTACGAAGCACGCTCGATATCTTTGTTCGAAGTCTCTGGTGTCAGGATTTTTACTCATCTCCCGCTGACGCTAAGTCCCCCTGACGCACGTAACCCTCGTTTTATTCATTTGCTTTTCTAGAATACTTATAGTATAAAGCACAATAATAATGCTTCCTGCAAGAAATCCGTGCAATTATTATAACACTATACTACACATAATACAAATTTTGATTTGAACACAAATTTCGCTTTTTTTGATGTTGCAGACTTTGAAATAATCATTTTTTTTCATCGAATTCTGACAGTATTTGAAAATTCGCACTAACAATTTCGGTCTCTTTTGAAATGAGTTTATAGTTCACAATGTAAAGCCTGCTTGGGGGGATTAATTTTCGTGATACAAGTTAAAGTTGTTATTATTTTATGTCATTCAGAATTCAGGACGTCTATAAAAAAAGCTGGGTAGTAACAAGAATGAACGAGAATCTATAAATTTACTGATACTATTGGGGAAAGAGAAAGAGGTACGTTAAAAACGTAACAAGTGGTAATCTGTTGACCTACCTGCCTATACTTCGTTTGTTTAGAATTAAAAAACTGTAAACAAAGAGCAGTGATCATAAACTTTCTTTTCATACAACAAATTACAGTAAATGAAAACGTCGTGAGAATTGATGATAAGTGATACTTTTACAAATTGCAGGATGTATCGCGGTGCTGCAGACTCACAGGACAACCACAAATTACACCCAAACTCATGAGAGAAATAAATGTAGGCCATACAAAAATATTTCTCCCGGCCCGGGAATTGAACCCGAGACCTCTGCGTGGCAGACCAGCATGATAACCGTTCGGTCACGGAGGCAGTTAATTACATAATGATAGTAAATATGTTTGACATGTTTATTTTGCGGTGTTTAATAAATTGATTTGCTTACAAAATTACTAAATGAAACAGTGCCTGATAAAAGATGCAAAACATCCTTGTCTAATGCTAAAAAAATCGAAGTTTAGTAAGTAACAGGTATGACAGTATATGGGCCCCTTCAAAGTAAACGCACATAGAACCGCTGCAGTGGCACACTGCGGCGCGGCGCTACAGTCGCGACACTAGATACTAATTTTCATTCAATATTTAGAAACGCTGTTGCAGTTGCCACTGTCGTAACACGCGCACACCACTTTTGCAGTCACAATTAGTGACCAAAAATTTACTGAAGCATTTACTGTTGCGCTTCTACAAGCTTCTAATTGGAAGTCGACCTATATGTATTCAGGTTTCATAATTGTTATGACAAATTTGGAATCGTTCAAAATTGCATACCATCAACTGTTCCATATTTGTAGAGTTTCATGACTGTCTGGACATTAAAATAACGTTAATGACGTTTGTTAAATATTAATCTTTAACACTACCCACGCTTCGCTTATCAAGAAAACCTCCGAAAATCACGTCTTACCACCTCGAAATCAGCTTGAAATGATAATTGCGTTATTGGTCTAGCTTAATATTTCAAATTCTTACTTAATTATAGTGTAATATCGATGGCAATCCTCTATTATATAATCCTCTGTCCTATTTGACACCCACTAACAAGACGTTATTAGTAGTTTGCAATTTGATGTGTAACAGTGCCCACTGCAACTGTAACCTGTATCGTAACCAGATACCTCGTTCTGTGTAGCATGATATTGAACCGCATTATATACTATCTGATTACGATGTAGTGTGTAGTGCGGTTCTTTTTGCTAATTATTATCAATATGCTTATTAAATAATAAGAACCAAACTACTGTGTCAAACCAATAGTACACCGTAAGTCACTAACAGAGTTTTGATTTTCTAGCGCTCATATGATTTCTTTAGGTCTAATCTATACCCTAACATTTAAACTTTAGTGGTTTTAGAGTTTTTGAACGAGACATAAACTAAAACACTGTAGGTTTTACAATTTACAGCAATACAGTCTTTTGGTCTGTGGTTTGGTTTACGCGCGCGAAATGCACTACGGTGTTGCGAGGCGCCTGAGTTAGCGAAAACTCTCAAATCGCTCAAATATCTCAGAAGCGAGGGTCTACTAACATTTCTCATGACTCAAAGTTTAACAATAATATACGACATTCTATCGTACCATACATGGCTTTGCAAGGTTCAATACAGTGTTTTGTAATTTCGTAACAACAAGAATCTTTCGCCTGTTAACGAGAGAGAAAAGAAATTTATTCATTTTTCAATACAAAAAACTAATATTTCCAAAGTAAAATTATAATGGCTAGATATTTATTTAATATCTGATGTACAACCTAAGTTAAATGTATCTTTTTATGTTATTAATCTCAAAAATTATAAAAAACCGAAAAATCCTTTACGCAACTTTTTCTCAAAATGCAGTTTATGATATTACAGAGTTTTGGTTTAACACTGTAGCAAAATTTATTTTTTAATTCCAATTAAGCCCGGGGTTTTCACTCATTAATGTTATTTTTCTATGTAGTACAAACGCCTGACATTGAACAACAGGTGACGCAGAGATTGTAACAAATCTTGCGTAGAAAGTTTTAGTAGGCGCCTACCGCTTAACAGAGATATCACTCGATTTTGAAATTAATATGCAATATTCTATGAGCTTTCGTTTGTATCCTGTACTATTTAAATGAACCTACATAGCTTATGAACATGGTTAAAATAACAGATGTACCTGTTACAGACGGAAGTCGCATAGTGCCTACCTTTATTTATGTGTCTGTGGAGCCTACCGAAAAGTGATTTTCTGTCACAGATATGTTGTAAAACAAACCTGAAACCTTTACTGTTGGTACCTGTATCTCATTTAACGCAAATGCAATATCTAAAATCTTTTAATAATCTTTCAAAACTGCGTGTACTATGAGTAGGTACTTAATAGTAATCTATTAAGATAATAATAACAAATCGCTCATGAAACAAGTCTGTTGTAACTCAAAAATGATGGAATTGAGAAAACACGATATGAAAATTTAAAATAAAACGGAATGAATCTTATTGCGATTATTGGGATTATTTTTATTTGTACGTAATTATTAATTCACTTATTAACGAGAATATAAATTTATTGGTTCCATTCAGTAATTTTTTAAACTTCTAAATCGTGTTTTCTACATCCGTTCCATCACTTTTGAGTTACTAAATGTGGTGAAACTTCATGGTTTATTGTCAGTGTCAACATTGTAGAGAATGTGCGTGTAATTTTTAATTCAGTAAAGCCTATTTACTTATTTAAAGGCGCTCTCTCATTTCAATTAAATGAATTAAAAATTGAGAATGAACGAAATGTATAAATATTTAAAACCCGATCGATTAGAAATTGATTCGACGTCGAATGTTTCATATCAACAACAATGGCTGCATTGGAGAAGAACATTTGAAAATTTTCTTCAGGAATCAAGACCAACTACGGAAAGTGGACAAATGGATCACTCAGACAGTATAAAAAGTATTATGTATCACCGACAATTTATGAAATGTTGGCTTCTTGTGAAACCTACTCGTGCGCTATTTCAACGCTAGAAAGTATCTACGTGAAACCAAAAAGTACTATTTTCGCGAGACACAAACTGACTACTCGTACTCAACAACTTGATGAGTCTATAGATCAATACGTACAAGCTTTAAAACTCTTAGCCAAAGACTAATCTAAGCGGAGTGTATCCATACTTAGATGATATCACTGTATGCGGTATGGATGAAGCTGATTTTAAGTCAATTTTTGAAAATACATTCCATTTCGCGACCTTAGCTACGACATCTTCAATATTAGGGAGAGGATATGCATCTAGGTAGGTGAATTTATTGGTTGTTTGCGAATAATCTATACACATATGCTTCTTGTGGTGTGTTCCAGAGGTTACCAGAGTTTGGGCCCGCCATGATGAAGCACTTTCTTCTATTATTCCTTCAGAGAGGAGGCCTATTGCATTCTTCTGTAGAACACTCAGTGATTGTGAAAAGAAATACCCGATTATAGAAAAGGAGGCTTGTGCAATTGTCGAGAGCTTGAAAAAGTGGAGGCATTATCTCCTTGGTCGTAGATTTTATCTTATAACTGATCAAAAATAAGTTGCATTTATTTTGCAAAAACCACGCAGGTAAAATAAAGAACGATAACATTCAAAGATGGAGACTAGAGCTACAAGGGTGGTCCGATAAGTACTTAGCCTACAAAAGAAAAACGAAAATTTTGGAAAAGTGACAATTTATTTTTCAACATAGTCTCCTTTTAGCTCGATACACTTGACCCAGCGATACTCCAACTTTTTTAGCCCGTCTAAAAAATATGTTTTCGGAAGGTCTGCAAAATAGGTCTCTGTAGTGGCAATAACCTCCTCGTTCGACCGAAATTTCTGCCCAGCGATTGACTTTTTCAAGTTTGGAAACAAAAAAAAGTCGCAAGGGGCCAAATCTGGAGAATAGGCTGGATGGGGCAGCAGTTCGTAGCGTAATTCGACCAATTTGGCCATGGCGACGCCGGAGGTGTGAGCCGGTGCGTTGTCATGGTAGAAGAGCACTTTCTTCTTTACCAAATGGGGCCGTTTTTTCTTCAATTCGACGTCGAATCTACCCAATAATTCGGCATAGTAGAGCCCTGTGATCGTTTTTCCCTTCTCTAGGTAGTCTATGTAGATGATACCTTGTGAATCCCAGAAAACCGTGGCCATCACCTTTCCGGCCGATGGGACAGTCTTCGCCTTCTTCGGAGCATGTTCGCCAGGTAAAGTCCACTGTTTCGACTGTTCTTTGGTCTCTGGTGTGTACCAGTGGATCCATGTTTCGTCAACAGTCACGAAACGACGCAGAAACTCCTTCGGATTACGCTTAAACAGCGTCAAACCCTGCTCCGAAGTGGTCACACGGTTGCGCTTGTTGTCTGGAGTGAGCAAACGCGGCACCCATCGCGCTGACAGCTTTCTCATGCCCAATATTTCATGTAAGATATGACCCACTCGGTCTTTTGAGATGCCTAATGTCTCAGCTAATTCGCGCACCTTCAACCGGCGGTCTGCCAATACGAGATCATGTATTTTAGTCACTTTATCCTCCGTGGTAGCCGTTTTCGGGGCACCTGGTCGTGGCTCATCAAAAACGGACGTGCGACCACGTTGAAACTCATTAAACCAATTTTTGACGGTCGCCATCGAAGGAGCAGAGTCACCGTACACAGTATCCAAGCATTCTTTGATTTCACTGCGTGATTTCCCCTC